ATTTCTCTAATCACAATCTATTTTCAAAAGAGAACTTGACACATCTAATTTGTCTCACTTCGAAACTCGTCATGCTTTCGCGCTTGAGTGACGTCACACATGTGGGAGTTTAAATAATTTTTGGATTATTAAGGCAAATCTAATATCTTTTGCCAATATCAAAAAGCACAATATGATTGAATATACACGTTTTTCCGACAGACACAAAGGCAAGATTGTGAATATGTGATTAATATCCAATCATATACTACAATGTACCTTAATTCAGCCAATTAGGTCGCACAGGAGCAGGCTCTTCATTCCGACACTTTCTGACAAATATTTGTCGGAAGCTAGAGCTTACTATTTTGAAACCAATACTGAATTTAAGTCGTGTAAGATATATGTCAATATTTTTGTGGTTCCGACAATGCGGTATACCTCCTACTTTAGGTTAAAATTGAGCAGTAGTGTTAAGGTACACTCAACCAGTCAAGTCCAATGCTGTCACTTTTCATGAAGATGAATGTTTGCGTCCGAGTGGTTGACAAGGTCAACGACACGTTCGCACTTGTGATAACTAGATGTCATTTCGAGCGCAATCACAGATTGAGCGAGTTTTCGCTCAAGGGACACTCGTCTAAGTGTATCTCGCTCGACAAGGCTGTATTGCAGACTGTAAATGAGCTATGAAAAGCAGGGGCAAAGAAAACAAGTATATTGAAGTTTATCAAAAACAAATCGGATAAAAAAACCGACCCCACAGGAAGCCCATAACCTCGTACGCAAGTTGAAGGGTCGTAAGAGCGGCACAAGGCCTATCTCCGGCGGAACGCGGTTGAAGAAGTAGGTCTCAGAGTTTGAAGGGAGGGACACTCGTCTAAGTGTATCTCGCTCGACGAGGCTGTATTGCAGACTGTAAATGAGCTATGAAAAGCAGGGGCAAAGAAAACAAGTATATTGAAGTTTATCAAAAACAAATCGGATAAAAAAAACCGACCCCACAGGAAGCCCAAACCTCGTACGCAAGTTGAAGGGTCGTAAGAGCGGCACAAGGCCTATCTCCGGCGGAACGCGGTTGAAGAAGTAGGTCTCAGAGTTTGGCGATGAAGCTGGCAACGTGGGCCGTATGTTGTTTGGTGACGTGGGTGATAAGGTATCATATGCAAACCATTGTTGCTATTACAGATTGGTGCTAGCCAAGGTCTTACCTTATGTTAAGTAGAAAATATCGACCTGAACAACCTTACAGACGAAGCACATGTGATCGTTATTCAACCAGTTCCCCGAAGCTCTTCGGGTTAGCGAGACCCACGGGACGGATCGTTTAAAGTACAAAGTATTTTCGTTCGTGGCCCATGGCACCTTCGGCAAAGGTCAAATCGTCAAGGTAATGCTCTGAGACGTGGGTCCACTTGCTGATGATGAGGCGAAAGCTGTCATGCATTTCCGCCGGAATCTCACCGTCGATTGTATGCGTCACGCTCTCCAGTGCACGCCGAAGCGTTTCAACAGAGACAGGCGCCAGGTTAGTGTATATGTATAGTATTGTACGTTTCGATGTTAATCAGTCACATCAAACAGTACATGTACAATACCAGCAGCTAATGTACAGTCGCGCGAGCTGGATCTCGCAAAAAGAGAGCAGCAAGTTACACTTAATGAGCCACACCAGCCAGCAGAAAGTGTTCTGGGCAGAGTGAATGGCAAAGTGAGCGAGTGGGCCAGTCTCGTCAGGGCTAGCTGCCAGCGATCCCTCGGTGCTCGAAGAGTGATCGCGCATGATATGCTACATCTGTGTGTAACCGTGTACCGGTAGCACGCTTCTGAACCGCGCCGCACCTGCGGCGAAGTACTCGAGTACCAGCTCGTCGTACCGGTCGCGGCACGGTCCGAAGTAAATGCTGTTTGGTAAAAGTGGCGGGGCGGGCAAGGCGAATGGGGTCAATATCTTGCAGGTTGGTGTTATGCTTCAGTTGTTTTTAGAAAGTACGGTAAGGTAAAGGGCACGGTGCCAATTCGTGGTATGATTTCAACTTACTACCAATAAAGCAGCTGAATATTAACATTCTCATTTCTGATTGGTTACTGACATGTGGATCAGTTGTTGGCACGCTCCGACTCAAGATATGTGGTTTTAGAGGTCCTATAAATATAGAGGAAAGTTGAAATAGCGAGAGCCACATACAAACCCAGCACACCTTGTAGAAGGAAAACTACACCCAAGCAGACGTCGATCTCGCATTGTCACGTGTCGCAGATGGACTGAAGAAAACAGCGATCGCTCGAACCTTGATTGTGCCGCTACTGTGGTGTTGGAGTTCCCACGTGAACTCTAGCTACAAGTATAGTTAGGAAGCTCCCACAACGATATGTCTGCTGGGATAGCAAACGATCGTTCGGGCGGACCTGAAGACCCCAGTTCTGCCCTTGCACCGGGACAGACTGGACCTTGTAAACTACTTAAATAGGGCAACCAGTAAAAATAAGAACACGCTACTAGCACGAGTAAAGCTAAAAGGTGTTATGAATCCTCGTGGATCCAACAGCGGAAGGGTACCTGGCAGGGGTAAGCCTTTTACGAGAACACTAAGTGCTCAACATTTGGTTAAAAAACTAAAAGGAATGCAATACACGTACTCCCCATCGTGCAAATAGGCAACAATAAGCCGTCATGTAGCCCCCCCCCCCGATAGTAATCGGCCAATACACACAGTCTCTTGGCCTTGCCGGATGAACCCTCGCTACAGAACTTCGAGGTCACCGACAGGCATAACACACTCAAACAAGCTT